GATCTTTCTTCTCTTCCAGGCAGCCAGATGTATTTTGCCTGTTGCAGGGACACCTTTGGCTAAAATATTTTTATAATGAATTCTTTGGTGGTTTTCATAACTATCAGGAGATAAACAATTTATAAACTAGCATTGGTCCCTTAATTTGACTGTCGGTGAGGCTATTTCTTACCTAATTTTTGGAAATATTAGCTTCCAACAGACGTGTGTCTGTACATGTGTTTCCTATTGCCCTGTTTGGAATCTCTAATGGAAGTGTTTTCTGAAATGTAACATATTGCAGATGGATAACATTGCTTCATTGTCAGGTTATGCATATTCTCCAGTTTAGAAATCTGGTGTCCAATCATGCATTGTTTGTGCACTTAAAGACCACAAATCTCTGTGGGCTATCTTGAGTGTGTATCAACTACAGATCTGCTTTGTTTGGGCTTCAAAGGCTTTTTGGCAGACAGATATTAAGCTTATAATTAGGGATGAGTGAATCAGTTTGGGTGTGGGCCTGTGGGATTGGGGTGGGGAGAAGACAACAATAAAACATCTCCTTGAACTTTGACAAGCTTCATATCTGAAAAACATCCAACATAATTAAGTAGATTGGGTGGAGGATCATGTTGCCAAAGAAGACAATGACTAAATTACCATGAAGAGGGCGCTACTTGGTTGCATCTAGAGGTGTTTCACAGCACTGAACCATGTGCTTGTACTGGGATAGGTTGCAATGCTGCTGCCCAGTGCTATATGTGGCCTAGAGTTCCTGAACTTGTGTCTCCAGAGCTTGACATCTTTCATGAACACTAATAAAAGGCAGTATTGCCTAGCAGCTAGAGCACTAGACTGGGACTTGGGAGGCTTAGGCTCTATTTCCAGCTCTGCCATTGGCCTGCTGGATGACCGTAGGCAAGTCACTTTACTTCTCTATGCCTCAGTTTCCCATCTGTAAAATGGGGAAATGATACTTCCCTCCTTTTGTAAAGCATTTTGAGATCTACGGATGAAAAGTGCTATATAAGGCTGGGTGGCATTATTATTATAGTCACATGAAACATTTTACAGGCATGGAGAGGAAAAAGCTTGGACAGGACTCAGTGAAGAGAAGTAGGAGGGGGGGATACCTTTTGCTGAAATCTTTTTTAATCTAATTGATTCTTTAAGCGTTTTCATACCAAACAGAGGAAAAAGAGTTATAAACTTGTCATACTCAGCATTTTGTTACGCACTGTGGCATTCCTGGTAGCCAAAATAGCCGGAATATCATGAAGACTCCTTACAAGACTATAACTATATTAATGCCTCTCTAACCACAAAGCAGGGCCAATCCCCAGACAGATTTTTGCCCCAGATACCTAAATGCCCCACTCAAGGATTGAACTCACAACCCTGGGTTTAGTAGACTAGTGCTCAAACCACTGAGCTATCCCAGGTCTGCAAAATTTAATCTTATTCTATCAACAGAATGTTGTCTTGTGAGCATTCTCTTTTCTCCTGCTTTTTGGGGTCTGAAAATAACAAGAGTAGACTGTAGGATGGGGAAAATAGGCTCCCACAGTTTTTGACACTTCCATTTGGAGCCAGGCAACACACTGGCTAATTGTGTTTTGATGCCCTCTAGTGACTGGTGCACGTAAAGGATAATAGCCTACTATTCTTACTAGCTAATACTTGCTGCTTTAACTTAAATGGAAGAGGCTTGTGTCTTTGGGTTCTGAAGCAATGGAATGACTTCAGTGGATTTTGGATCAGGCCCTTAGTGCTGAAGGTCTCAGGTTCAGTTCCTGCTGATGACCTGTAATTAGGATTGTTGCACAGGAATTGAAGATGTGCATGAAAGTATGATTTGGCAGAGGGGAGTATTCATCTTTTATACACAGACCAGAACATGAAGTATCTGTCTGTGTGACGTACAAAAGCTTAAGGAAACCAATATGTAAATTGCAATGAGCAAGAGTGAGCACATTCTTTAGTAAGAGCCATTCAAGAAATCTGTTGGAGGGCCCTGCAAGATTCTGCAGCTGTAGTTGTGGAATTTGCTGCAGAACCCATTTCCTCCTACAAATTTATGCTCCAGAATCTAAGCTTTCATTTTAAGAAAAGTTTTAGCCCTCTTAACTGCAATTAAGAATATGAACCTAATGTAGGGTTACCATATTTCAGCAAGCAAAAAAGAGGACGGGAGGAGCCCCGCCCTAGCCCCTCCCACTTCCCGCCCCCCGACGAA